TAGTGACCCATCGGTGTCACAAAAGCACTTTTCCTCTTGGCATCTTCATCTAGACTAAGTTGCCAATATCCCTTGGTTAGGTCTATCTTACTTAGAAATTTTGCCTTACCTATCTTATTTAGCACAGAATCTATCTGCGGCATCGGTGCTGGATCAAATTCCGTAATTTTATTAATTTCCCGGTAATCGCAACAAAACCGTATTGATGAATCTTTCTTTTTCACCAATACCACTGGAGCTGCATACGGGCTATCCGAAATCTCAATAATGCCAAGTTTCAACATGTCATCAATTTCTTGTTGAACCTTCTCTCTAAGTGCATACGGAACAGGATATGGCTTCCTATACACAGGCTTATCTGTAATTAATTTTACCTTATGATGCACAAGATCTGTCCACTTTGGTACATCAGTAAATATGTCTAAGAATTCCCAGATCAGTTCTGAGATTAACCTATGTTGCTCATCTGTTAAATCCTCTGAAATTCTGACGTCAATTACTGTTTCTTTACCTATCAGCTGAGGAGTTACTTTATAGTCTACATCTATGTATTCATCTTCAAACTTATCTTTCGCTACATCTATACATGCTAAAAATTCTACCTCATTTTTCAGTGCTTCAGGACGCTCATACCATGTTTTCAACATATTCACGTGATAAACTTTCTCTTTACCTCTTACCTTGACTTTACAATCTACTGGTCCTACCTTATCTGTAACAACGTAAGGCCCTTTCCACTGAGCCAACAGTTTACTTTCACTAGTGGGAAGTAGAACTAATACCTTAGTACCAACCTCAATCCCTCTCGATCTTGCCTTCTTATCGTAATACCTCTTCTGTACCTGTTTTGCATTCATTTCATTTTGGTGTGCTAACTCAGATAATATTTTCAGTCTCTCTCGAGTTTCAATCAAATAGCTAAGTACAGACGATTGGCAATCCTCTGGTTCTTCCCATTGTTCTTTCAAGACAGACAGTGGTCCTCTTACATTTCGACCATACAATAACTCAAATGGCGAAAAACCTGTAGTATCATTTGGTACCTCCCTATAAGCAAATAATACATATACCAGGTACTTATCCCATGTCTTTGGTTCTAGTGAAGCATAGGCTTTCAACATACGTTTCAAAACACCATTGAATTTCTCACACATTCCATTCGTCTGAGGATGGTAAACACTGGATACCTTCTTTTCAACCGTTAAAAGTCTGCATACTTCCAACATAAGTGACGACTTAAAATTTGATCCTTGGTCCGAAAGTAACTCTTCAGGGAAACCTACTCTAGAAAATACTTCCATCAATGAGTCAAAAACTGTCTCTGCATCTTGGCTTCTCAAGGCAACAGCTTCTGGGTATCGAGTGGCACAGTCCACAATTTCCAAAATATACCTATTTTTTCGTTCTGTAACCGGTAATGGTCCAACAAAGTCAATAGCAATTCGACGAAAAGGTACATCTATTGGAGGAATACTCACTAGCGGTACCTTTGCTGACTTACCTTTTGTACTTCTCAACTGGCAAACATGACATGATTTACAATACATAGCCACATCCTCAAACATACCTGGCCAAAAGTAATGATGTAATATTCTATCCCTAGTTTTCTTTATACCAAGATGGCCTGAAAGAGGAATATCGTGAGCAAGTTCCAGTACTATGGCCCTATACTTCTGTGGTAAAACAACCTGATTTATCTCTTCCTCACTGGGAGTCACATATACTCTGTATAGTATTCCTGACTTCATTATGAAATAGGATGACTGTTGTCCTGGATTTTCCTGAACTAAGCTCCTTACCTTATTCAAAGATTTGTCGTCAGCTTGAGCTAATTTTAACTCATCTCTGCTATACATCTTACCTACCTGTGGTAATATATTCTCTGTTACATGTTCATTTAACTTGTCTATACTTACTTGTATCTTTTCTTCTTTTTCGTCTTCTTGTTTCTTCTTGGCCCTTGTTTGTACAGCCTGGCATGTGTCTTGATCAATATTCTTACCATCGTTTTCTACTTTTTCAGTGCATACATCTTTAGGAACAGAGGTATTTACATAATTACCTATAACTAAGTCCAAATGGTATGTCTAAAATCAGTGCCAACACTGAACCAGATATGTATGGTGTAGTAACATTGATCCATACCTCTTCACAGTTTCTGACAGATCCATCTGCTAACCAGATATCTTTCATTTTACCTGTTCTCTCAATCCCTTCTACAAGACTACCATGTACAAAAACTGTGGAACTGCCGGTGTCACGTAAAACTGATACTGGCTTACCTTCAACTGTACCTTTTACAATTTCTATACCAGGACCCTTACCTTCATCAAAATTTGCATTTACAGCTACTCCTGATAGTTTCACAACTTTACCTTCATCAACATCGTTCCTTTGTACACACTCTAAAACTTTATCTTTATCTACACAAAGTCCAAAGCTACCTTTCTTACCTTTTTCCGTACCTTTCTTTTCAGTGCAATCATAACTCAAATGTCCTTGTTTATGACAAATGTAACAAGTTTTAGGTTTACTGAAATCCTTACCCTTTCCTAAATCCTTCTGTAAGCCTCTGGTTTGACCACCATAATTACCTGATTGAGGTTTCATCTTAAAAGCACCATCTGATACAAGACTCTCAATCTTGTGAGCCACTTGATAGGATTCAGCTAAATCAACAACTCCATGAGCAGATTTAGGCTTGTGCTCATTAACCCAAAGCCTTAAATCCTTACTACAAGTTTGGAGTAATTGCTCACGCAACATCAAATCCAACAGTTTTTCATAACTGTTACCAACACTCTCACGTTCAAACCAATGTGCTAAATACCTTTCTAGCTTAACCCTGAATTCTCTAAATGACTCGTCTTTTTCCTGAATAGCAGACCTAAATTTTTCCCTGTAGGCTTCTGCAGTTAACTCATACCTTTTTAGAATTGCATCTTTAATCTTGTCATAATTACCACCATCAGCATCACTTAAACGAGAGTATGCCTCTAATGCCTTACCACTCAATAATGGCACAATACGAACTGGCCATTCAGACTTTGCCCATTTATGCAAGGCTGCTAGTTTCTCAAAAGACTTAAAAAAAAAACATCTGGGTCTTGACCTTCAATAAATTTTGGTAACTTACTATATTTCTGATCTCCTTTGTTAGTAACAGGTGCTGCAACACCTAGAGCTTGTTGCACTGCTATCTCTTTCTCCTTAATCTCAAGTTCACGCATGCGTATTTCTCTTTCCATCTCTGCACGTTTCAAATCACGATCTGCTGCACGTTCATCGCGCTCCGTCGCTTGTATTTCCTTCCACAGGGTCAGACAATCTGTAACAGACCACCCTTTTTCTACTAACTCGGACATCCACTTAGGCATGTCCATGACAAAGTTGAATTTCAGTCAACTAGTATAAACCCTACTGACAGATCCCACCGTGGATGCCAAATGTAAAGAAGTGAAATTTTCACTTCTGGGTTCTTTTAGTAAGGGGACAATCAAATAGATCTGTCAATTGGGCGTCAAACAAAACTAAATAAAAATTTGCATTTAATAATACCACAACCACAAGACAAACACAACACATAAATATACACATATGAAACAACCTCTCCACGACCTCTCTTCTATCTCACATAGACAATGACAAATACACGGAACTAAATACACATAACTAAAAGTTAAAATTAAAAGTAAATAAATAAATTAGTCCATCACAGTCCATAAATCACAAGTCTATATCAATCCAGAAATCTCAAAGGTTGTTCTCGTTTGATCCGAATTATTATACTGTTCAAATTTACTGTCTGTCAACTTGACAAATATTGAAAAACCAATACTTTGACAACATAACGTTAAATATTTCAGTTTCTCGGACAAACTGTCAAACCAAGTTTCTGCTATCTTTTAAATTGTAATTGTCCTGAAACAAATTCACTGACGGACTATTTAACCACACAGACATTCAGGTTGTTGTAATACTTATTACTTGAAAACTATCTGTTCCATTTTAACCATCAAATGTTAACAATACACACAGTATATATTTATCCTCATCTGAGATTCAACTTTATATATAGGAAATTGTCTCATTTTACTTATCACTCCTTTCTTTTAATGGTCTAAAATACTTCCATAACTCAACAAGTCCCCTGGGAAAGAAACAAAACACAATTTTAAATAACGGACCGATTTAATCCCGAATAAACATAATAATTTGACAACCGTGCGCGCCATAATTACAATATGACAAACAAAATTTGATATCTCGTGCGAATATTTGAAACAGAAGACATAAGGGCGGGGCATGGTGTGTTTGTGTGACAAAACCTACCTGGGAGTTCTTTATTGTCCTGATGGACAAAATATTAATGAATTCTCCTGAACTGATCATTCCTGATATAATATCTGCCCTGACAATAGTCAAACTCCAACTCCAAGTTCCAGTCAGTTTTCAACATCTGACTTCAACACTGTCCAGGTGTTATACTGACAACACCTTATCTCAAGACTAGTGTTTCTAAATTAACCTGCCTAACCAGTTTCTAACCTTCACATTACCTGTTTGTCAAACTTGATTACTTTTGTTCTATTTATAAATCACTAAGATTTAAATCCAGGTAACACTCAAAGAAGGATAACTCAAAAACTTTACAGATATAGCAAAATCAAATAATAATATAGTAAAATGACAAATCAGTATGAAAAGGTAGCTCCATGTTATTTCAAGGTGTCTTCATAGTACACAAGAATATCTTCATGACAAAGTAAAATGACAGAATGGTATGAAAAGGTAACTCCATGTTAAATCAAAGCGTCTGTAAAGTATATAAATTTATCTTAGTGATATAGCAAATTGACAGAGTAGTAACAGACACATGTCGTAATAGTATAGAAAATTTGCTTCATGTTATATCTCAACCCTTAATGATATGATTACCGCTATCATAAGGCAACTGTGGCGTTCCATAGTATTAAATCTATTTACATAATCAGTTGCACTGGAAAACGCATTTGTGTATTTCTAAGTATTGACAATGTATTCTAAATATAGATTTGATCAAGATAATTTCCAAATGTATGGTAAATAGTTTGATCCAAGAACAAAGTAAAAGGTGAGTGTTACATTTCATTTGATGTAATTTTTAGTATTTTTTTTTCTTTGTTAATTACCATCAATAACACCATTTTCGTCAATATTTATATGTAAACGTCAACTCGTACGTCAAACGACATATTTACTTTCGATTGCAAGTAGGCCATGTAAGTCTTTCGTCTAAATTTGTGGATGTCCCGGAAGAGGTTATTCTTTTTACGTGGATTGGTATAGGCACTGGCAAAATAGTTTTCCGTGTTAAAAGGAATAGATTTTATGTTGATTCGGATATAAAATTGTGATACGTCAACAAACACATTTATTACGCATAAATTCTGGTATGGTCTGGTATAAGTAAACACGTTTGTCAAAATTGCATCCATTCAAACAGTTAATTAAATTGATCATAGCCATTAAAAAACTTAATTAGCAATTTTATTTTTTATGGTGGCACAACCATAGAGCTTAAAAGAGGGTCCATGTAGGAACAGAAATTAAAAAAAAAAAATTGAACTTGACTGTTGCATATATTCAGTTTTCAATTTTAAATTGAAAAGTAAAATCACAAAAATACTGAACTCCGAGGAAAATTCAAAAAGGAAAGTCCCTAATCAAAAGCTCAAACACATCAAACGAATGAATAACAACTGTCATATTCCTCACTTGGTACAGGCATTTTCTTATGTAGAAAATGGTGGATTGAACCTGGTTTTATAGCTAGCAAAACCTCTCACTTGTATGACTTTTAAGTAAAGTTACATTACATATAGGAAATTATGTTATTATTCCAACTGTGAGCTGTGAACACGCCAAAACCAAATATATGTATGTCATATGTTTAGGAATACACAAAAAAAGACAGAAAGAGTGCGAGAGATAGTGGAAGCATCACCCTAATTCTCTTTGATTTATAGGAGGTTATACTGTATATGTAGTCTGTGAACATTTAATTGAAATATTTCTAAAGATTGTTCCTAAATTGTGATGAAGCCATTTTTAAAATTAACACGGGAAAGCATTTGAAAAAGGTTTTGTATCTGGTGTTTTATTTTCCCTTACAATTTTCTGGACATTAATGGGGGTTTTATGCCTTTTTCAAAACCTTATATAAGAAATAACATGAATTTCAAGTCCATTTGGGATTTTTCATTAGATTTGTACGCCATTAATCAACCTATTTTTATATGTACAAGTTATAATTTTAATCATATTCTAGCGAAATTAGTGCAACAAATCCGAACTCTAAGGAAAATAGAAATTAATTCAGCTAGACAAAAGAATTAAAACTGTGACAATGATCCGTAGAAACAGCACTACATAAAAACACATATTAAATATATGTATGAAAGGGATTGAATCATCAGATCGACACTGAGTACAGCAATTTTACAACAAAAGGTCAAAAACACAAACTGCCGACTCGCAGTTACTGAACGACAGTACAAAGCTAATTTCAACTCATAAATAAAGTTTTCCAAGAAAATATAAATCTGTACGTATACACTGTAATGTAATTTAGTGTAAAGAAAAGACGCCATAAATGGTCTGAGAAAAGCAGGACCTTTTGCAATGCAAACATATAAGTATCGACAGGATGTAGTAGCATAGGTGTTAATAAAGACTCACCAAAGATACCAGGCTTATAATTTGGTAAGCCAGACATGCGTTTCGTCAGCATACATTTAATAACTGTATACCGATACATAATTAGAGGTTTTTTTTAATTTATTTATAACTCAATTTTTTGAAACCAATACATTCAAACATATAACAGACCAAGTATAACTGTTTATATTATATTTATTCATTTAGAGCCAGTGTCCTTAGGTAAATTTCCGCGGGATAATTAGAGTATTCTGGATTATTGAAAGTAAAAATATCATAAATGTAACTGTAAGTGTTACAATTTTTTTTTTTTTATTAAATTGAATTTAAACGAATTTTTACTTAGTTTAGCCATAAACTATTCTTTTCAGAAAAAGAAATTTAATCTCTCAGTCTTGAACAATGTTAGGGCCACCTGTAATAACATGTCTATAAGGATCATATCTTAATGTTGATGCTTAACGCTCTCTTTTTAAAGGATAATTATTTTCTATGCTGACATTAATGTAACTGAAGTATAATTAAAAGTTTAATTTCTGTTCAGTTAATAATACTTATATGACATGATCGTTGGTTCTGTTGTATCAAAATAAGGAGAATAAGTTTTGAAAGGGTCATTTATGTCTATATGTTATTTGTTTTGTTTTGTATAAATACTATCCTTCGCAACATTTGTTTAATGATTTATTGAAAATCATTACCCAGTCACGTTGTAATTTATTACTTGCTTTGTCAAATTATCATAACTTTTTTTTCATTACTCTTACTTTTGTCATACAAGTATTGTTTACAATTTACAGAATACTATTTCGTGTAAGCTATCTTGTGTCTGTCAGCATGGTGAGGCAGTTTTCGTGGAAATATAGAAGAGAACATTCAACGCAGTTTCCCTTTGTTTGCGACATTTGTAGACACACGAAAGGGAGATTTAAAACCCTAAAGGACAAGGAAAACCACGATAAGATGACGAGTAGACATAACCGTAACTTTGTAAGTTGATTATTGAAGCTTACGTTTTGTAAAGTATCTTTTGCTAAATGTGTCTTGTTCATAATACAAAAATGTTATGATCGAAGCTGAGAATTTTGCAAAAAAAAAAAATCAAACACACGTCGTCAAGAATAGAAAAGTTATTAGCAATCGGCACTTCAAAAGAGACAGTCAAATGAATGTCTTCGTTCAAATACCTTTCGGAATATGGATCAGTGTATGTATTGTTTTATCTTTTTGTTTTTATCTCTTATTAGTCTGGTTATACTTACACTAGTCTGGTTTTTAGCTCACCTGGCCCAGAGGGCCAAGTGAGCTTTTCTTATAACTTGGCGTCCGTCGTCCGTCGTCGTCTGTTAACCTTTACAAAAATCTTCCCCTCTGAAACTACTGAGCCAAATTTAACTAAACTTGGCAACAATCATCATTCAGGTATCTAGATTAAAAAATGTGTCCTATGACCCCGCCTGCCAACCAAGATGGCCGACATGGCTAAAAATAGAACATAGAGGTAGAGTTTTGTCTATTATTTTGAAAACCGTTATGAATAGAGAAAATCTGCCTGGAGCGAAATGTACAAAATGTTGGTCTCTACCAAATGTCCATATACGTCAAAACTGTCAGACGACTTCTTATAGGAGTTATTGCCTTTAAATGACAAATTTTACCATTTTTTTTTCATTTTTGCCTACTTTCTTGAAAATTATTATAATAAATAAAGAGAAACTTTAAATTGCAAAAACGATCAGCAAGACAAGTTCTACAAATAAGTCTGCATGGTCGAAATTGTCAGTCGACTCCTTATTAGAGTTTTTGCCCTTTGATGACGATGTTTTCAAATTTTTATGGTTTTTGCCTTAAATCTTAAAAATAATAATAGATAGATAGAAACTTAAATAAGCAAAAGTGATAAGCAAGACAAGATCTACAATCAAAACGATATGGAGGAAATCGATCTACAACCCCTTATTTTTGTTGTTGCCCTTAAATGACGATGTTCCATTGTCTGTTAACTTTTACAAAAATCTTCTCCTCTAAAACTACTGGGCCAAATTTAACCAAACTAAGCCACATTCATCATTTAGGTATTTCGTTAAAAAAAATTGTCCAATAACCCCGCCTGCCAACCAGGATGGCAAACATGGCTAAAAAAGAACATAGAGGTAAAATGCAAGTTTCGTCCATTATTTTGAAAACCGTTATAAATAGAGAAAATCTGACTGGAGCGAAAATTTCAGATGTTGAGCTCTACCAATTGTCTATATACGTCAAAACTGTCAGACGACTTCTTATAAGAGTTATTGCCCTTAAATTACCGAATTTCAAAATTTTATTTCATTTTTTCCTACTATCTTGAAAAATATAATAGATAAAGAGAAACTTTAAATTGCAAAAATGATCAGCAAGACAAGTTCTACAGATAAGTCTGCATGGTCGAAATCATCAGTCGACTCTTTATTACAGTTATTGCCCTTTTAAGATTAAGATTTTTACCAATTTTTTGTGTTTTTGCCTTATATCTCAAATATTATAGATATTATGATAGAAACTTAAATAATCAAAAATGATAAGCAAGACAAGATCTACAATTAAGATAACATGGAGGAAATTGTCCGACGACTCCTTATTGGAATTATTGCCCTTAAATGACGATTTTCGCCATTTTATTTGCCTTTTGCCTTATATGATAAAAATTCTAATAGATAAATAGACACTTTAAACTACAAAAATGATCAGCAAGTTAAGATCTACTAAGAAGTCAAATTTTGCCGATATAGCTAGTAGACCGTCACTCTTTACAGCAGTGATTGCCCTTAAATGAGGATTTTTTTTTACCGTCTTTTGTGTTTTGTGTAAAAACTAAAGAAGATAGAGAGAAACTAAACAGACTAAATGATCAGCAATACAAGATCAACAAAACAGAGATTTTTGTCATGCATTCTATTCTAGTCTACATTAATGTTGGAGAGTGTCCTTTGTTGAATATGCACATAGACCAAGGTGAGCGACACAGGCTCTTTAGAGCCTCTAGTTTATTCTGGTTCTGTGGCATCGTAATTCTCGGCGAATGTTAGTTTAAGCAATTGAGAGTCTGTTGATAGAAACAAAATGTCTTAATTTTTGGTCGTAAGGGGTGCATGTAAATTATTAAATAGCTACTAAACAAACATAGGCGACGCATTAATTTTATTCTGCTCAGTTGAAGACAATTTAAACGGACTAACAGTCGAGTCTCCCGTTTCATGTTTAATATAGGTTATCTTATATTGTTGTCTCTTTGACACATTCCCCATTTCCATTCTCAATTTTATCATATACCTTTACGTAGTGCTGCACCACTTTCTAAGAATTCTCTGTTAAGTATTTATAGGCATAGATTTTAGCGGTTATGCTAGTCATGTATTACCGTATATATCTTTAAAAATATATAAAGCTGCTTAAGTTATTTCAATTGATATTCTATAGTGTGTCTTTCTATGTTTCGATGTTACACTATCGTTTCAGATAAGGGTGAAGGTTTGGCACCATTAATAACGTTTAAACCCGCTGCAATGGTTTGCACCTGTCCTAAGTCAGGAATCTGATGTTCAGTAGGTCAGTAGTTGTCGTTTGTTGATGTGGTTCATAAGTGTTTCTTGTTTCTCGTTTTTTATATAGATTAGACCGTTGGTTTTCCCGTTTGAATAGTTTTACACTTGCATAATCCTACTGTTAAAAAGTCGATGCCTCTGCAGGTGGACTGTTAGTCTCCGAGGGTATCACCAGCCCAGTATCAAGTACCTCGGTATTGGCAAGACAATACGGATTTTGTGTTATTAAGATTTGCTGTTACAAAATTTGTGAAATTATTTTAGATTAAGGAACATTTCGCCCTCATGCAAAGCTCATATTCCTTGTCCGGCTTTGGCAGTAGTCAATGCCGTACGTATAGATAACTTTTTCCAGCGTTTTTTCGTTTTTAAGATTACGTAAAAATGCATATCATTATTATGATGTAATAATGTACCTGCTATGTTTAATGTAATACTGCATTTTACTTTATGATTGTTATGTAGTATATGCATTTAAACCCGCTGCATTTGTTTGCACCTGTCCTAAGTCAGGAATCTGATGTTCAGTAGTTGTCGTTTGTTGATGTGGTTCATAAGTGTTTCTTGTTTCTCGTTTTTTATATAGATTAGACCGTTGGTTTTCCCGTTTGAATGGTTTTACACTAGTAACTTTTGGGGCCCTTTATAGCTTGCTGTTCGGTGTGAGCAAAGGCTCCATGTTGAAGACCGTACTTTGACCTATAATGGTTTACTTTTATAAATTTTGACTTGGATGGAGAGTTGTCTCATTGGCACTCATACCACATCTTCTTATATCTATTTGATACTTATTCAGTTTTTTCTTTAAATTATGAAAAAGGCACAACTGATCTGATAATTTATGAATTTATAAGTATTATGAATATAAAGAAAAAACGAAACAAACAAGTCGTATTCAGTTTTATTAACCAATTACTTAAAATACATTATGAATTATCCGTTTATTACAATTCAATGTTTCTGAGAACTGGTCATTAATACAGGTCTAATATAAGGTATATAATTATTTTTTTCTTTGTGCATGTACAGTAATTAGCCTATATAGATATTTATATCCAGAATAGTCAACCATAAAAGATTATTTCGCATAGAGTCATAAGTCAAATAACGTTTTAGGGTTGACAATTTTGATATGAACCGCTTCTACGAGGTGAATGTTTTTTTCATGTTTTTATGTTCAGAAATATGTACCATTATGACTTACTTTCGAGATATTTAAGTTTGAAATTTTCATATTTCATGAACAAACACAAAATATCATTTTTCAATACCTTTAAGAAAAAATAACACAACTTTCGAAGTCCATAAAGTGAAAGTTTACTGCGTTTAAATTTCTGAGAAATCATATATTTATCGGAAATAAAATGCCAAAGACACCTATTTGCTAATTCAACTCATACAATATTGAAGAGCTTGCCGTTGCTACTCAGATTTGTAGTAAGTCATCCATGTCTGAGCAAAAGATTGATAAGCCAGGGTTTTGTAAAATAGCTACTCATCAGAAATTACCAAGATCTAATAGATAAATATTCAGTGTTTACGTCATTAATAATACGAGATGTTTTTGCGTTATATATTCTACATGTAAGTGCTGAAGTTGTGAACCTTTTTATTTACTCTATGGTTTTCCCTTTATGTGTCTTTATGCTATTATATGTTCCTTTTGATTGTATGACTTTGACGTGACACGGTATCTATTCATTCAGCAATCGGGTTTTTTTTTGCCTTTGGCGTTCCTTTGACAGGTGAGTCCAGAGGTGTGATGATGACGTTTTAGGAGTGTTTTTTTCATTTTGTTTTCTCTTATCTTTATAGTTTTCTAAATTTGTACTTTATGAAGAAAGTGTTTACTTTTTACAGTATGTACTATTAACAAAAAAAACTTTTTTGTTGGTGTCTTTGTTAGATTTATTTGTTTGTTTGTTTGAATTTTTAGTCAATTGTGTTGTATGTCTGTGATGTATGTTCATGTAGCATCATTCCAGCAGCGCCTAAATATGGATTATATATCACCCAGTTGACTTGATAGAGGGTTTCTGCTCACAAGGAAGCTATTAAACCAAGAGTTCCATGTGGTAATTTTAACATCATCCCTCTGACAATTTAACGGACGCCATCACAAGTTGGTTGACCGTTATGGAAAATCTGTTTCACAGATGACGACGGATATGTTCCAATCGTCGTATGGATTCACTCATAGGGTACTCTTTGGATATAAGAGGGTATTCTAGAACCAGTTGTGAACATGATACGGATTATGTTCTTCTCGTATAATTTATGACGGCATGATACTAAACTCATAACGGGTGGGATTGTGGTTGAGTTTGATGAAGACATAATCTTTCGACAAGTTTAATTGAAGTTTGGAGCTTGTATGTAAGTAACTGCTAGTAGTCTTTTGTTAATTTA